GTGGTCCCCCCGTGAGGACTATCTAGCAGACACGAATCCAGCCTCGAGGGTCCCAAGTTTAGGGTTTAGGGTTTACCCAGACCCTCCTATGTAGTTCCTTTTTGGGTAGTATATTATAATCCCTTACCAAAAAAACCATAACAGACCCCCAAAGGAACTACATTGGAGCCCTTGGGTAGGGGCCTGTGGCAGCGACCTCATCTGCACTTAGCAAGGCTACTTCCTTGCCAGAAAGCGCAAGCAGCCGCAAAGCCATGGCAGGTCAGCCTGCAACTACCTGGATGCTGGCCTATATGGTAGTTTCCCAAAATGAGGGGACCCTAATATAGACCCCCACATACTATAGTCCTTATTATAGGGAACCCCTAATTTTGGGAAACCCCTATATGGAGCTTGGTCGAGATTTTTAGCAGGTGGAGAAAATTCATGTAGAGACCGGCTTTATAAAAGCAACCCCACCGGAGGGACCTGTGCTTTATGAATTTAAGGAAGTTCTTCGGTAGCCACAGACGTACCGCTCTTGAAGGCAGAGCGCCATGTACCCACAATAGCCAATTAAATCAAATCTGTCATGGCAGTACTCATAGAAAAGTATCTGCGGTAGTACTTTGTGCAGTACATCCTGGATGGACCAATGTCGGATGGGAGTAGAAATTTGGTGAATTGGCATCAAGGCAAGCGAACTGGAACTTGAGCCTCCATTCAACGAGTATGCCAGCTCATTCGAGCGCAGCAGACGCTCTGCAAGGCTTACCATACCAAAATTCCAAACAGCCTTTGAGCACGCCAAACCTTCAAGCTGCATGCATTCTCCTGCTTATACTTATGCCAGAAACCCACTTGAGCACGCCTTCAATCCTTGTTCCTAAGCCTCAACAGTAAGCCCGCGCAAGAAGCTCCCCCACTTGTTACCCTCAACCTGAAGCCCTGGTCACACCCAGTCCTACACACTGGTGCCCTCAAGCTTGGATATATAGGGATCTATAGGGATAATGGAAAAGATAATGGAAACTACAGAGATTATAGGGATTATACCTTACCCCTCAACCACAACCCCTGCACAAGCTCATCACCTAGCATGCCCAAAAAACCTACGGTCATCCTGAAGTAAACAGAAAATATGGGGATTATGGAAAGGAACATAGAAACTACAGGGTTTTTAGGGATTCTTAAAGGGTGCTACAGGGATAACGGAAAAGAAAATGGAAACTACAGAGATTATAGGGATTATACCTTACCCCTCAACCACAACCCCCGCATAAGCACGTCCCCTAGCCTGCTCAAAAAAACCAGGGTCCTCCTGAAGTAAACAGAAATTGGAGGGTGTGTACTTGAGATCCATATTTTGCTGAATCGCTGGAATGCCCCATAAAGCCCTACCTGGACCCTGGATGTCCTTCCTTTTTGGGTTCTGTCCTACATATTTATAGGGTATATCCCCCCAGAAAAGGTAGGACATCCAGGGTCTAGGTACTTGTCATCATCCTGGACCAATACCAAGCCGGGTCTGGGTAAAACAGGACAACTCCAGTAAGAGCCTGTG